CTAAGTCTTCCCACCTGGAACGGCCCCTCTCAAATGAGTCATATCCCACGTAAGGCCATATTTGAGCATGATGCCTGCCTGTGACCCTATCCAGCTCTCATGTTGGAGGGTTCTGCTCTTCTGTCCCCCGTTGATTCTATTCTTGTGTGTCTTCAGGAAAGGACCTGTGTGCTGAGGGGCGACACGGCTGCCAGCACCAATGTGTCAGCTCCCCAGGCACATTCCACTGTGCCTGCAATCCCGGCTACCAGCTAGCAGCAGATAACAAGAGCTGTTTGGGTGAGAGCTACCCCCGCCCTGCAATCCCACTGCTCCTGAGCCTTCTGGGCCTCCCCATTGCCCCAGCATCAGCCTAATGGGTCTGGAAGGGCCTTAGGAAATAAACATCCAGCTCCCTCACTTTTCAGGTCTAAGAAAGGGAAGGTACGCCTGGGGTCACACCAAACTTATTCGTGTCATCTCACAGGCACATCTTTACAGTTTCTGTTACTTAGACACTGTTGGGGTCTTCAGTCAGGGTCTCTATACAGCACCACCCCCGCCCTGTATACGCTGTCATTCTTGCTTCAGCATCTCAGCTCATGCTGGGCTGCTCGCCTGAGCTCTTGCCTCTCCGTACCTGCAAATCGTTCATGGCCTGGTTCTTCATTTTTGCCTTCTGAAAAGCTATGGCACACAATGTCTTGCTTATACAATTGGGATTTTCTTTTTTGTATATATGTGCGTTGATTTTTTTGATCATGAGAGCAGCTACCATTTGCTGAGCGCCAAGTTAGTACTGGACATTGTGCTGGGAGTGTTGCATACATTTTCTCTCAACTTCACAACAACCTGGAAAATCAGGTCATGTGATCCCCTAAACCATGTCAGCTGGGGTCTTTTGATTCTAGAACTGAGAAAAGGCTGGCTTAAAGCCGCACGTGATGACCCACGAACATTCCAATCCCTCCCCAAGATCTCTGGGAATTCCCCAAGTGCTTAATTCTGTGGTCTCCTTTCACTCTGAGCTTCTGCTGAATTCGTTGCATTTATAGGTCTTCTCTCAATTTCTCAATCCTGCACATGCTGCTCTTCTTCCATGCATGTAAATCAGCCTCTTCCTTCATTTACATTTGTGCACACCAAGACATGTGCGTGTATATGTCAGTGCATGTGTCCATTTTGCTAAAGATGGGCATGGACAGAGGTGTGAACTATATCTAAGTAAAGTCAAACATACACACAGAACAGGAAACATCCATTTATTATCATTGAATATTGACACCTTTGACCCTGAAAGCCCTCGGTCACCCTACGATAGGGAATTTTTCACTGGCAGGCTCAACCCACACAGTTATTCATCTTTACGTCATCTCTATTGTTCTTTGTTTTTCCTCTCTCCACTCCCATCTCTTTTCTAGGAACCCTAAATTCTTACTATTTTATGCAGGACAATTCACCTCTCTCCAGTCCTTATTCCCCAGTGCAGCTCTAGGCCATCTTCACACATTTAAATCAAGATACTCAACAGGGTAACAGTTCACCCCTCCTCAGAAGGAAGTTGTAAATAGCAATTACTTTCTTCCATTATATCCCCGTTCTGCAGATGGGGAAATGGAGACTCAGGTGAAGTGGCAGAGTCTGTTCCTCCCCGTAAGTCTGTGAAGATCTTCAGGGCAGGGGCCCTGTCTTCTCAAACTATGGATTCTTAGTCTTAAGCCTAGTTTAGTAAGGAGCATGCTAGGATGCATCTGGGTTTGAGTTGGGGGAGCCATCTGGCCCTGCGGGGTGGAGACCTATGCATATAGGAATTTACAGATGCCTGGGTACCACTCCAGACTAATTAAGTTAGGATCTTCGAGAGTTGGGGTTCAAAAATAGGTATTTTTTAAAAGCCGCACTGTCGGGGCTGAGAAGCGCAGCCCCAGGGCACATGCTGACCTCGCCTCTTCCTCAGCTATTGATCTGTGCACTGAAGGTACCCACGGCTGTGAGCACCAATGTGTCAGCTCCCCAGGCTCCTTTTTCTGCCACCGCTGAGCCGGCTTTGTACTCCAGCAGGACCAGAAGAGTTTCAGGAGTGAGCAAGCGCCCACACTAGCACCCTGGACTGAGGTCTCTGATGGGACCAATCAGAAATGACATCTTGCTGCCTCTTCCTTCCCACCAGCCATTGACCACTGCAGCTTTGGGAACCACAGCTGCCAGCACGAGTGTGTTAGCACCCTTGGTGGGCCACGGTGCCGCTGCAGAGACGGCCATGACTTGCTGCCTGATGGGAGGAGATGTCAGGGTGAGGAGTTGTCTCCTGCATTGTGCAGAGGTGTGAGGGGTCTTAGCTGGTGGAGTCCACCTTAACTCATCTTGACCTGTCTCTCCTTTAAGCCCGGGATCTCTGCAATGGTGTAGACCATGGATGCGAGTTTCAGTGTGTGAGTGAAGGTCTTACCTACCGCTGCCTGTGCCCTGAGGGGCGGCAACTCCAGGCAGATGGCAAGAGCTGCAACCGTGAGTTATGGGTGAGAGGGGTTTCTGCCCACATTCCGAGCCTCCTTGACTTTGCCCTTGCTGTGGCCCAAGGGTGTGGTGTGAATGTGTGGGCGTGGGTGGTGGTGGTGGGGTTGAAGGGTGCAGTATGTCCTGCTGCCATCTCTTTTCCCTCGATCCTCTACTCTGCTGTCAAGATTAATTATTTTAAAATGCACATTCGATCACAGCCCTCATTTGCTCGAATGCCTTCTGTGGCTCACCAGTGTCTGCAGAATAAAGATCAAATGCCTTACCCCTGAGTTTTGCAAATGGTGGGTACAACCACATCAGTGGATAATGAAATCAAATTAGGGAGTTACATCCAGTATCAAAAAGGAGAGAGAGAGAAAAAACAGAGCTTACTGCATGTAGAAAGAGTAAGTATTGTTTCATGAAACTCAATTTTAAATATATGTGAGTATATAAGGTACATCGTGATGTACTATCATTGTTATTATTTTTTTCACTGTGGGTTGCGGCCAAAATTTTGAAACTACTGTCTTAGCTCATCACAGTCGAGCTTCAGCCAACCCCATTAGCCTGTCTCCTGCCACACTTGAACATTTTAGCCATACGGGCCTGCCCATTCCCGAATGTGGTGAGAGCGCCCAGCTTCCATGCCCCTGCACACGCTGCTCCCACCATCTAGAATGTCCCAGCCTGCCTTGGAGAATTACTGATCCTTGAAGACCAAGTCAAATGTCACCAACTCCATGCAGCCTTCCAGGAAGAATGAATTGTTCTTACCTTGGGTTCCCTGCATGCCTATCTATTCTGGCACTTTCCTTGACTGTAGCATATGGCATACCTGACTGCTCTGCTCTATCCTGATTTCCTTTTGGATCAGGATTATGCTTCATTTATTGTTGAAACCCCTTCAGGGCCTAGCAAAGTCTCTGGCTCAGAACACAGGAGATAACCTTGCAGAGTGATTAGGAGCATGGGTTTGGGGGTTAGACAGACCTAGTTTCAAATCTTGGCTCAGCCACTACCCGCTATGGAATCTAGAGCAAATCACTTTATCCTTCAGAACCTCATATTATAAAAAATGGGGATAATCCTCAAGATTATTGGGAAGATTGCCAAAATATATATATAAAGTACCTAGCCCAGTGCCTGGCACATTATAAGCTATCAAATAATAATGTTTTTATTTTGTATTAATACTGGTAAAGAGTTTAGAATTGTGTCTGGTACATAATAGATTCATCAATAAACGGTGGTTATTGTGGTTGTTGTTAATATTATTATCATCATTAAAAAGATGCTTTTAGCTGATTGCCTGGCTTGTGCTAAGGACTCAATAAATGGCAACATTTATAATGATGCTGCTGATAGTGATAATAATAATAATACATCATTCCATTAGCACAGTGCCCTGGCACAGGAAGGACTTCACACACAGTGTCTGTTGTATAATAAGTGTTTGTGAATGAATGACCAGATAGGTAGATGGCTGGTGCCAGCCAAGGTTCTGGTCGGTCCATCCGATTCCTCTTTGCTGTGTAGGGTGCCGGGAAGGCCACGTGGACTTGGTTCTGCTCGTCGATGGCTCCAAGAGTGTGCGCCCGCAGAACTTCGAGCTGGTGAAGCGCTTCGTGAACCAGATCGTGGATTTCCTGGACGTGTCCCCCGAGGGCACGCGCGTGGGGCTGGTGCAGTTCTCCAGCCGCGTGCGCACCGAGTTCCCTCTGGGACGCTATGGCACTGCAGCGGAGGTGAAGCAGGCGGTCCTGGAGGTGGAGTACATGGAGCGCGGTACAATGACGGGGCTGGCGCTGCGCCACATGGTGGAGCACAGCTTCTCCGAGGCGCAGGGCGCGCGGCCCCGTGTCCTCAACGTGCCTCGCGTGGGCCTGGTCTTCACCGACGGCCGCTCCCAGGATGACATCTCAGTGTGGGCTACGCGAGCCAAGGAGGAAGGTGGGCTTGGTACAGGAGCACTGACCTGCGGTTGGGTTGGACGCAGGGAGGTGGCTTTCCTGAGGTATAGGGCGCCCCCTCTGTCCCTTGGCCCCATAGGCATCGTCATGTACGCTGTGGGCGTGGGCAAGGCGGTGGAGGAGGAGCTGAGAGAGATCGCCTCGGAGCCCGCGGAGCTGCACGTGTCCTACTCCCCCGACTTCAGCACCATGACGCACCTGCTGGAAAACCTCAAAGGCAGCATCTGCCCAGGTGAGCACATCTGTCTCAGGACCCTACCTTTCTCTCACTGCTCATCCTCTGATATCTCAACTTCGTATTCTCCCGCGCCCTTTGTAGATGTTATACGCAGGAGGGGATGGACTCACTAGACAGAGATTTGTTGCTCGAAGTATGGGCCGTGGGACCAGCGGCTGAGCTCTCACCTGGTGGTTTGTTAGAGCTGCAGTACGTCCAGCTGTCCCCAGACCTCATGAATCGGATTTTGCACTTTATTATTATTTTATTGTTTATTATTATTATTGACACCTACAGCACCTGGTCTTCCTAGGTGGGCTCCCATCCAAATACTAACCAGGCCCGACCCTGTGTAGCTTCCGAGATCAGACATCGGGATTGTTCCGGGTGGCATGGCCCCAGACCATGGACCAGGGCTCCACTGGGACGCGAACCCAGGAACTTCTGCGTGTAAAGCAGATGTGCTAACCGCTACACTATGGAACCACGTCCCAGATTTTGCACTTTAATGAGACCTTCAGGGGATTCGTATGTACATTAAAGTTTAAGAAGCACTAGACTAAGCAACCCGTCCCCCGGAATAGTGGGTGTTCGGAATAATTTGGGGAAACTTTTTCAAAAGAATGCTGAACTCAGCATTTTCTAAGTGGAGTCACATCATATATTCCATTAACTTGTTGGAATTCAACTTTATAGACCTGGCAAAGTGGCAGGACTGAGCGTGTTTCAAGTACACGAAGCTAGGTTTTTTGTTGTTTTTTTAATAATGTGGCCCGTAAATTCAATCCATCTACTTCATATTTTCTCAGATGAGAAAAGAGGACCAATGCTATCCGTGGAGAAGTGAGCTGTTGAACCTTGTGTATGAGGAATTTCTTAGGGGTAACTTATACTATAGAACCTTTAGACTCTAACCCAGGACTAAGATGCGACTCTCCTTTCAGATTATGAGGCTCTACCTCCAGAGCTAGGTTCAGTAGGGCTGGGCCGGGCCTGGGAAATCTGTACTTAATAATAAGCAAGTGGAGAATCTATACTTAAACAAACAAACAAGCAACACATATATGTACATATGGTGTCTACATATATACATGTGTACGTATATGCATATACATATGTGTACACACACACATACTTCTCTCCAGGCTAATTCTAATAATTAGCTAGGGTATTGCGGAGGCACTGGATTAATTGCTTCTTCAGGGCCCTTCCTGTTTTGACTCATCTCCCTGCAGTGTGACTTTGGACAAGTCGCTTAACCTCTACCCTACCCTAACTTCCCACTTTTTTAACAGGGGAGGGTTCTGGCTTCCGAAGGTTGCCTCCAGCTTTAGAATCCTAAGAGAAATCTGGGCTCTGTTGTTGAGGCTCTTCTCCTTGGGTAGATCCCGCTCCCTCTGTGGACCTTGGTCACCTCATCTGCAAAGTTAGGAGTCTTTGCAGAACTGTTATCAATACCATTAATAAATGACATGACATACAACTGTTTGCTAAGGGCTAAGAGTACATACAAGACAAAAAAAATAACTTTTAAATCATAACGGCAATTTTTTATTGAAGGTCAAGTGCCAGGCATTGTGCTGTCGTATTAAAAATGACACATGTTTACAGAATGTCAGTGAATCTAACCTACTACCTGATGTAAGATTCACCATTATTTTCTATACTGCTAAGAAAAAACGGGCGCGAAATTTAATTGTGAGGCACTCATTTTGATTTCACAGATGTAGAACTACATAGGGAAATAGACTTGGATCAGTGGTTCTCAAACATTAGTGTGCATCAGACTCATCTGGAGGGCTGGTTGAAACACAAATTGCTGAGCCCCAATCCCAGAGTTTCTGATTCAGGGGGTGTGGCATGGGTGTCTGATAAAGTACATTTTAGTAAGTTTCCAGATGATGCTGACTGATGCTTCTGGTCCAGGAACCATACTTTGAGAACTACTGGTCTAGCTGAAATACACTCTTGGGCAGTGCTCTTCAGTAAGGTAGCCAGTAGCTACATGTGCTCATTTAATTTAAATTAATTAAAATTAACGAAGATAAGATTTTTTTATTTCTTCAAATGCACTAGCCACATTTCAAATGTCAAATAGCCACATGAGGCTTGTGGCTACCACACCAGACAGGGGAGATACACATTTCATCACTGCATAAAGTCTCATTTGGAGAGAAATGCTGTGAACTCTCCATGCTGCTCAAAGTGTGGTCCACGGAATAGCAGCATCGGCAGCACTTGGGAGCTTATTAGCGATGTACTGTTTCGGGTCCTTCCCCATTGTGAATAAGAATCTATATTTTAACAAGATCTCTTGGTGATTCCAATGAGTATCAAGGTTTGAGAAATACTAAGATGTGTACACACGCATCATCGAATCCTCAGCACCACTCAATGAATAAGTTTTCTCATTGTATGCATTTTTACAGATGGGGAAACTAAGGCTTAGAAAGGTTGAGTGAGGTTTCAGGATCTCACAGCTAAATAGCTGGTACTCATCCCAGGTCCGTCTGCACCTAAAGCTCATACACTCGACCACATGCAGGGAGGGTGGAGGTATATCACAGGGCCTCGGCCAGGGCTGGCTGGTCCTCCTACAGATTCTCATTTCCTTGATTCTCTGTGCCGGGCTGGCAGAGGAGGGCATCAGCGCAGGCACAGAGCTTCGGAGCCCCTGCGAATGTGAAAGCCTTGTGGAGTTCCAGGGCCGCACGCTGGGGGCGCTCGAGAGTCTGACTCAGAACCATATCCTTTGGGCCTGGGGGCGCGGGCTGGAGGGAGGGGAAGGGACCCCCGCGACCCCCAATGGCTTTCTTAACCGGTAACTCGCCCAGCTGACTGCGCGCCTGGAGGATTTGGAGAATCGGCTGGGCACCCATAAGTGAAGAGCACGGTGGCCGGGACCCAGGCAGGGACGCAGCCCCGCGGACTGTGCCCTCTGGTGCGCCGTCCGGGCGCCGGGGGCGGGCTGAGCTTGGGCCCCTCCCGCTGGGGCTGTCGGGGACCAGGCGCTGGCGGGCTCCCAGCGCTGCACTCGAACTGGCTTCGCCTGGACGGACCACAAGCCGGACTGCAGGGGACAGAGGGGCGTGTGATCGGTCCGCACGCCTTCGCTGCGTGCTGCGCTCAGATCTTAGTTGGATTCTTCCTTTGCTTTCTTTTTCTTAAAAAAAAAAAAAAAAAAAAATCTGGTTTCCACGGGCTCGGTTTGTGGGTCTTGCTGTGCCGCCAGGGGGAGGGGAGGCCAGACGGAGCGCGCTGCGGCGCCCGGGAGGCGTCTCCTTGGAGAAAGGCTCATTGTGTGGGGGTCGGGCTGGGGGGCAGGGGACCGGGCACTGCTTCCCTCTTCTTGTTTATTCAGCGAGAACAGACGGCTCCTTCTGCAGGCTGCGGGAAGGGTGGGGGCTCCACGGGAACCCTAGGGTCTACGCAAGTCTGTGCCCTTCCATCCCCCAGCAGATCGAATGCTTTGCTCTCCGGCTATGCCTATCTCGAGGTACCCCCCAAACTGCTAGAACTGGGCGGGGGTGTTGGCGAGGAAGCTTGAGCCAGTAATTGAACCCGTAAATGGACAGAGTGGGAGCGGACAGGTGAGTGTCGCCTGGATTTTATTTCCCTCCTGCACTAGGTACGAAGAAAAGGTATCAGCCAGGACCTCTGGCACAGAGCAGGCCTCTGCCTGCCCAGCCTGTGTCCCACTCTCTACCCAGGCTCCCCAAAACAAAAACTGAAAACAAAAAAAAACCCGCTATGGCACGGTACTATGCCCCAAATGCATGTAAGCAAATACAAAAATTAAAATGCTTCCAGTCCTCGAAGGACTGTGGGCAACTTACTCCGAGTTTGTTTCCCTGTTTGTAAAATGGGGATTGAAATAGTTACACCCAAGAATGATGGTGAGAATTGAAGGAATTATTCTAAGGCATCTGACATTGTGCCTGGTATATCTTAGGCCCTCGATTAATGGTAACTATTACCTATTCTTAAAATAATAGCTAACATATTTAGTCTTGGGCATTCCGCTAAGTGATTTGAAAGTATTTTCATTTTATCCTCACAACAACTTGGTGAGATAGGAATTTTTGTCTTAAAAATCTCCATTTTACAGAGGAGGAAACAGGCATAGAGAAGTTAAGTATGTTTCTCAAAAATCACATACTAATGAGGAGCTGAACCACACACAGTGTATTTGTTTCCTATGGCAGTTGTAACAAATTACTACAAATTCAGTGCCTTAAAAAACACAAATTTGTTACTTTATAGTCCTGGAAGTCAGAAGTCTAAAATGGGCTGGCAGGGCTGCATTCTTTCTGGAGGCTTCTGTTTCCTGCCTTTTCCAGCTTCTAAAGGCTACCTAAATTTCTTAGTTCATGTATTCTCATCACCTGGACCTCTGCTTCTGGCATCACATCTTCTCTGACTCTGCCCCTCCTGTCTTCATTTTACAAGGACCCTTGTGATTATATCGGGCTGACCCAGATAATCCACGATAATCTCCCCATTTCAGACTCTTTATCACGTCTGCCAAATCCCTTTGCCATGTAAGGTAGTGTAATCAGGGGTTGCGGAGATTCAGAGGTGGATGTCTTTGGGGGGCCATTATTCTGCCTACCACGCAGGGCTTGAAGCTAGGCAGATGGACCACAGAGCAGGCACCCTTAAGCTCTTCTATCCTTGGCACCTTGCTAGACGTGGTGAAGATGACGAACATGGAGAAACGTGATTGAGAAAAGCCCCTGAGCTAGGGGAGCTCAGGGCTAGAGGCAGTGAGTGCACCTGACTGTAAAGGTAAGCAGAAAGAAAGCCCTTCAGGTGAGGGGATGGAGCTAAGGGTAGGTAAAGAGGGAGGATTTTGGAGGAGGTGACCTCCCAGCCAAGCCTTAACCTATGGCTGCAGGTGGCCATGGGGGATTTCCCAGGAGAATGAAGCATGAACATGTGTGGTCAGGAGTATGGGGGGACGGCACGATTGAGATTTTACCTGGACTTGAGGATCAGCTGAGCTAAAGCGCTAAGCACAGTGCCTGGTTTATGGCCTCATTTGCCCAACCCCTTGTTTTTCATTTGGAGAACCAGGCCTAAAGGGAAGAGTTGCCTGCTCAAGATCACACAATGAGAGAACTCCAGCTGGATCAGGCAGAACCCGGGGTGGTCTGATTGGACCAGGGTTCTCAACTGATGTAGGGGCACTGAGGGCAAAGGTGAGGCACCCTCCCTCTTTCTTCCCTGGCTCTAGGCAGGACTGCCTTTTCTGGGGTTTCTTTTCTCATCTGCTCTTTTCTCCTGCAATCTCCCCACTGGCCACTAGATGGCGCCTGAAGCTCTGGTTTGGGGTTGAGTCCCAGCCCTTTCAGGCACTTGGCCTTTGGCACTTGGAAGGATGAGCCAGGCCTGATAGTCCCTATAAGGTCCTCCTCCCCTTTACACCCACTCTGGCAGACCCCGCCACCCCAAGCTGGAAGCTACTTCTGTTCCTAAGGTATTGAGCACAGACTCCTGGATTTGCAGACCAGCCCTGCTGCTTACCAGCTGTGTGTCATGTTGACAGGTGCTGGTTCCCTTGGCCATCTCCCACTCCCCTCTGTCTCATTTCCCTTTCCTCTTACCCCCTTTTCCCTTTTGGATAGGAAAGAATGTCCCACATAAGGGTAGCTAGCCCTCGCTTCTTAGTTTATACCTCCTCCTACTTCAAAGGATAGAAGACAAACGACTCATCAGTTCAGAAAAACAAACATCCATTAACCCAAGAACAGAAAGAATCCAAGTAACAGTAAGCGAAGAGTGACATCACCAAGAAAGCTTAGGCGGTGAGAAGACAGAGAGCCTGACAGACCCTGGGCCTGGGATTCCCGGAGTCCAGACAAGCAAGGATGTTACAGGTAAGACAGGGCAGAGAGCACTTACGTTTTGGAGGACTCTTGACCCCAGATCTCCTGGAAGAAATGCAGGGCTCTCAGCACTCCTGGTTCCCTAGAGATGTGAATATTTAAAAGGCCAGTATTTTCCACAGTGGTTGGCAGAGATGTCACTCACGGAGCTGTTCCTTCTACTTGGTAAGGTGCGCTAGACTCCGGATAGTTAAATGAAGGGCAGGAAGGGCCTGCAACCTCACGGCACCCTGTCTCCCTTTCTGCATTTCACCTCTCTCTCTGTTCTCTGGGTTTTTGTTTCTCCATGATTTTTGGCCTCTCTATCCTTCTGTTCTAGCTGACAGCCCTTCTCAGTTTCTCCAGCTGGTACAGCTGCCGTCTCCAAGGGTTATCGACTCTTCTGGGTCTTTGGACTCATAAGAATGTGAAAAGGGAAAGAAGAAAACTGTCACTTATGACATACCTACACCGTGCCAGGGACTCTGCTATGCCTTGTACCTGCATCATCTTGTTTAAACCTATAGAAGGGAAAACTGAATTTCAAAGAGACCAGTTGCTCACAGCCACAAAGCTTCAAAACTAGGATTTGAACCCAGGTGTTCTTGATCCCAGAGTATGGTCCATTCATACTCCTACCCTTCAGTTCATCAGGGACAAATGTGGACTTTTACTAGAAAATTTAAGGGGCAGGCAAAAGAAAAGCCCAAGGTATGGAAGCGATGAGGAGCAAAGCGCTGGTTCTCCATTCAGAGGCAGCTCAAGCACCTTTAAAATCTGGTCCATGAGCCGCTGTTTCTTTCTACCTTTCATCACCCCCTGCTCTGCCCTCTCCCAGGTGATTCTTTTTCCTGAAGTGGAGAATATAACTTCTGAGGCTCACCTGAGGGTCTCATCCCCAGGGAGCGAGCGCATGGTGGGTGAAGTGCCTCCCAGCAGCTGAGCTGGAGTGGGGATGAATGGAGGAAGTGGGCAGATAAAGGTAACAAGACCCTCACTACCGTATGCAGATAATAAGGACCGTCTTCTTCCAGATGAACAAGAAAATCTTGGGGTAACTTCTGTCCCCCAATAGAGAGTGCCTATTCCTAATCTTGGCAGATGCTCAAAACTGCCTTCCCAGTGAGTATTTCTTTTTAAATCTTTCTTTTTAAATTAAGTTGATTGGGGTGAACCAGTGAGTATTTCTTGAACGTCTCTTTCCGAGATAATGTTAGGTGCTGTACTAGGCAGTGGAGGAAGAATCATACTCCCTGTCTTCAGTTAACGTTCTAGGAGGGGACGGTGGACAACAAATAAGTAAATGGATAAGGTTTCAGACAGTGATAAATACTAGGAAGATGGTACAATATAGTGCTCTTTTAATAGAGCAGAGCTATCCAATAGAATTTCTGCGATGTCAGGAATGAATGTTCTAGATCTGCACTGTCCAAATAGTAGCCAGCATGTGGCTGTTGGTCACTTGAAATGTGGTTAATGTGATCAAGGAACTGAATTTTAAGTATTATTTTAATTAATTGATTGATCGATGAATTAATTAATTGTGAAATAGTTCCATGTGGTTATTGCCTACTGTATCAGGCAGCGTCAGTATAGAGAGTGCCTGGACTTTGGATGGAGTGGTCAGGGGAGACTCCCTCAGGAGGTGATATTTGAGTTGATGTCTGAGCGATGAGAAGGAGCCAGCCTTCCAGTATGGAGTGTAAATAAATGCAGTGCCTGCGGGTGGGTACATGCTTAGTGATCCCAGGGTGGAGAGCAGGCCTGTGGGGCTGGAAGTTAGTGAGCAGGGCGGCACGGTGGGAGTTGGCGGTGGATGGAGAGGGTGCAGAGGCCAGATAACCGGGGCTTGGCAAGGTGCGACGAGGGTGTTCATCACTGCCGGGCTCAGTTTGCACCTGTCGGCCTCTGGCTTTCTAAGCAATAAAGTGGATGTGGCGGCTGCCTCCTTGCCTGACCCCTTCTCTCTCAGGGCTGCGGAGAGGATCAGGTGAGACTAGGAGATGTTCGAATGCTTC